AGTAGATGTTGTTTCCCCTTTCCCAAATACAGTGTCCCTTTCCCTCATCCTAAACTTGCATCTCAACACACAAATATTATGAAAAACATGCACCCAGTAGAACGCCAGCAGGGCAACCTTAGGGCATGCACACACACACACACACACACACACACACACACACACACACACACTCACACACAGAGGCAAACCTCAAGTGACCTTGACAGACTCCATCTTTCCTGTTTATAAAGATAATACAATTTATCTTGCAGGTTTCTTCTGAAGATTAAATTAGACTAAGTAATATCAAGTGGCTGGCTGAGAGCAGATTTTCAAATATTAGTGCTCCCCCTCCCCACTTCCCCCAGAGATGGGCCAGTTTATCTGCTCAACATTCTAAAGCCTTCTGACATGCTACACGAAGAAGTCGAATCTTCATTACCTTGCCTCATTCGGAATGAACAAGTCCTTGGGGAGCAAAATATTACAAGGGGAAGAGGGGGTACAAAAGAACCATGGGCATTCTCATTCTTAATGCCTGGCTGCTAGGTCATTTCTACTGAAAGTCAGGAGGGAAACCTGCTGAGCTGTCCTTGAGAACCCAGAGGGCAGAAGCTAACAAGGCAATGGAGTTATGCTTTTGTGTGGAAACTGGCTAAATAATGCTGTTCTACTGCCAAGGACTAGGTTTTCTCTGTACCCTATTTTGAACCGTTTTGGTGGTTTGCATGAGACCTAAATAATACCCACACTGCTCCGCAGCAGACAACAGCGGTTACAGGACCACACTTCCCTTAGATCAACTCCGTTTCGCTGCTTACAAACCAAAACGTAAAACCCTGATGAAAAAAGAAACCTAAAAGCTAAATTCAGATTTCAGCACTTCATTTTTAATGAAAGTCTCCTTTCAACAACCTTCTAGAAAAAAATAACCAGAATTTCATATTTACTGGAACATTTCTTTGGTGACACTTCTGAGTTTTGCAATGGCTTTGAATGCCCTACACCAGTTCAAAATGTGTAGCTAAAGGAGAACTTCTAGCAGCTTTCCATCAAGTTTGACAGAAGTGAAGTATCTTTTTTCCATATCTCAACAGCATTAAGAAAAAAACCATTACACAGTATAAAAGCTGCCAAACTGCCTATTTAGATCAGAGCCCAAGTTATTCTAAGAGTAAGGTTTGTACCTTTCAGCCCAAACTCCCTATCAACAGTGACTACCTGGTTGTTAACGGTGAAGTAGTGGGGGCTCAGCTCAGCATTTCCTGGGGGGCCTAAATGATGTGCCAAGCCCTGTGGGAGACCCTGGAGATGGAGAAGTGAGTAAGCCACAACCCTGGCCTTTGACAGGCTCAACAGGCAAGAAAGTCACAGAAAGATCTGATTTTGGTTTACTGTCGTTAGGAGCCCAGAGAGGCCTGTCTCTAGGAGGGAACCTTTAGCTCAACTTGGGGCATTCAAAACAGGTCCCCTTAAGATGACACCTGAGTTAAGTCTTAAAAGATCAGTGAAAAATATCCAGATAGCAGGAGTTCCGGACAGGGAACAGCTTGAACAAAGGCCTAGTTGCCTGAAGTGCTCAAATACGTGCATGCAAGGATAGTAGGCATGGACTGGGAAAGTGTGAGCCTTGGCAGGTGTGAAGCTATGGAATCACATGGGAACCAGGTCACCAAGGGCTCATTAGGCCTGAGTAAGGAGTTGATACTAACAATGGAAGTTGTTTATTGAGCACTTACTGTATTGTAGGCCCTATGGGAAGCACTTCAAAGCACTATTTAATTCAATCCTCCCAGAATTCCAGAAGCCCCTTTTACAAAGGAGAACACAACGAGGTAGAGCAGTAGCTGCCACAGGCTGCACAGCCAGGAAAGGGAGGTGTGACCATGACCTAGGATGGCCTGACCCCAAGCTTGTACCCTACCCCTGCTACCTTTAAGCCTGTCCTCACAGCAAAGACCAGATGGGTTCATTGTGCTGGCTAGAGAATGGAGAACTGAGGTGGCCCAATGGGGGAGAGGTGGTGGGGGAGGTGGCTATAACACGCAGGTATAGGAAAGAATAGATCAATGAAAAAACACGTTTGCAGGGATGAGAAGAAAATATTCACCAGACGCAACTCCTCCTAGTGCACTCAACCACAATAGGGGCTTTTGAAAAAGGGGTGTAGAAAATAGACCACCAGTATTTGATAATGCTTCCAAGGTACCTAAGGTTACTGGGTATCCTCTTTGCTTTAACACAGGCTAAACTTTATGAGGGCAGAGACCATGGCTGTCTTATTCATACAGGATGGTGTCTCCAGGTCTGAGCCTCCTGCCTGGTACAAGGAGATACTACATGCTGAGAAGTAAGAAGGGATAATGGCCACTTTTTACAGTGGCACCAATGAGGTGTCAATCTTGATTGGAAAAACAGAGTTAAGAAATAAACACAATCGCTGATGAAAAAGGTGTGTTGATACCTGAGGACTGGTAAACTGAAATGGAGAGTGTGGTGCTGCTACACTGGCTACACTAATGATACTAAGGCCTCATCACCACAGGGTACTTGCTACCTTGAAAACAAGACAATGAACCCAAAATGCGATGGGCATTTTGTACAAACCATAACTGGTAAAAAATAAGATGTTACTAAAGGAGGTGAGCTAGAGGTGAAAATGAGCTTTCTGGGAACAAAAGCAAATGGACCAAAGATCAAATTCTGGGCCTAGTATTTCTAGTCTCTGACCTTGACAAAATTAGCACAGCACACCACTTATGTGATTTTTAGGAAAGAAGTTTATCCGTATGACACTTTTGCCAAGGTCGAGTCCTCAACAAGAAATTGTTAGGTCTTTGAAAAGTAAAAGTCATGTTTTTCAGATCGGAACGGTTTCAAACATTTAAAGTTTTCCCCAAGAGTAATTATTTAATTTGGGGTATTTAGTAGGAGTGAATCTTTTAAATCAAAAACAACAATTAAAAAAAACTAAATTGTATTTCTTATTGAAATTTGTTCTTCCACTGAAATCCATTGCTCACTTGTTGATCTACTAAACAGAAGCTGGAGTTTTTTTTTTTTTTAGGTGAACTAGTAAGGAGACTGTAAGCAATCTCATTTCCTCTTTCTTCATCATGCATTAAGGTATTTTAAAAAATACTACTTTATATTTTGTCAGCTTACTAATAACAAATTAGCTTACTAATTTTGTTGGAAAATCCTAAAACCAGTTATCTACATGGAAAATTAAAATGCAAGTGGAATTATATTTCTCATCTTCCTAATAGCTACTTCCAACCTCCAACTATCTCTGAAAATTTAATTTCAAATGAATACAAATTCAAAACTATTGCTTAGTTCAACCTTTGAAACCTTAATTCCATAAAATTATGAAATCTGTGGGCTTTGTAAAACTGTTTAAAAGCCCAAATAAAAAGCCACTAAGCTTTCAAGCTAATTGTTTAAAAATATGTATATAGATGAAATGAACCTGACTCATGAACTATTGAGTCTGGAATTTGCAAATCATAAATCTTATCCTTGTAAACAAAACCTAACAAACTCAAGGCCCACTAATTTCCTTCTTTCATAATCTAAAATAAAACTTCTAATGATTTTTAATATACACAGAAAGTTAAAGGTGCTGTTTAAAATATTTATTAGCAAAACAGAACTCGTTTTTAAGGGTCTGGGGTATAATCAGAGACAGTTGAACATTCTGACACTGCAATGCAGAAAAACATCCAGGAATGAAACACTGGGATTTTATTAAACTGTAGAACTCAGATTTGTGTTAGGATTTTTTGTTTATAATAATGCTTCTTCCTCATTCCCTTACGAACTCCTATCTGCATGCCACCTTCAATATAAAACATAACTTTAAGATTCCCAATGCACTCCAAATACTCTGAAATGTACCATTTAGAACCTGGTGCATATTTGTTCTTGCCAAAACGTGGAGGGTAAGTCTGCCTAGGGACTCTGGTAAATAAAACCCGTGCCTCAGGGCAATGTGGCCTGACAAATCCTTTACATTTCATCCCAAATATACACAGGTCATCAAATCGGGAGAGGGGCATTGGTGTTAAAGAGGAAGGGAATGTAAGATGATCCAAGTCTAATCATGACATTTTACAGATTAGGACACTGAGGCCCAGAAAGGACCAAACACTCAGGTACCCAGATCACAGCTGCAGATAGGAGTTACGTGGATCAGAGCTGCAAACATACTAACTTTGAGCTCTCAGGGTTTGGGATTTTCCATAATAAATCCTTAAGAATGCAATTCCTCCATTTCCCCCCTTCAAAAACCTCTAGAGTTAGAGGCCAGGTGGGCATCTGGAGCTGCAGCTGCTTTAACCCTTCCGTTTCCACCAAACAAGAGCTGCGGAGTCCCTTCAGCTCCCAGAAGGCGGTCGCCCTGTGGGGCATCCCGTCCAGCCCCTAGCACCAGGAGGCACTCGCCCTCAGTCCCCGCCTTCCACCTGACAAGCCCCGCCGCCTGCCCCGTCCACGTCAAGCCGTCCGTGGAGCAGGATTAACTTGGCTTTGGGAATCGCTTCTTTCCCTGAAACTTGTACACAGCACCTCCGGGCCCAGGCACGGCCGGGAGCGCGTGGCCCTCCCTGGGGCTGAGCTCCGAGTGGCTGGCGTCTTGGGGTGGCTGGGCGAGACCCGGCTAGATTCGCAGCGCCGCTGGGCCCCAGGTGTGGCGGCCGCGGCCCCAGGCCGCTGAGCCCCTACTTCTCCAGATAACCGGCCAACTTCTCAAACTTCCCTTTCCGGGGGTGGGGGCTCGGCCGGGACGCAGCCGCCACGCCGCCCGCCTGCCCGCACAAAGGGGGCCAGGCGTGCCCGCACCCCGTCTCCGCCAACTCTCCTGCCCCGAGAAAGGAGACTCGCCCCCCTGCCACAGCGGGGGGCGCGGCGCGCGGGTGCCGCCAGGGGAGCCTTCCGCCGCTCCGCCCGCGCGCGGGGTCCCGGGGCGCCTGTCAAGCGCGGCGACGGCGCGGGGAGCCCGGGCTGGGGCCACTCACCCGACTTCGGAACATGCGGCGGGATCGTGCCGGCGATGCGCGTCCACAGGACGATGTGCAGCAGCCACAGGCCCCTGAGCAGCCCCCGACCCATGGCAGCCCCCTGCCGCTCGTCATAGACCGAGCCCCGCGCGGGGACGGCGCCTCCCGGCCTGCCTGTTGCGCCCGCGCCCTCGGGCCCCGCGCCGGCGGCCGGGCAGATGCGCGGCCCAGATGTGCGCCGGCGGCCCGCGCGGAGGGGCTGCAGGCCGGCGAGCGCGGGGAGGCCCCCGGCGGCCGAGGGGAACTCGCGGGAGGCCGGCCCCTGCCCGGCGGGTGCGCGCGCGGGGTGTCGTCGGTCCGGGCGCGCGAGTGACTCACTCAACTTCACCCGGCGCTGCGGGGGAAACAGGAAACTCCTCGCCAACAGCTGGGCAGGACCTCTCGCCGCCCCAGAGCTTCTCCCTCTGCTCGGCTTCCACCCTCGCTCCCTCGGAGCTGCCAATCACGTTCCCGAGACCGGCCCCCGCGAGGGCTTTGGCAAACTCTCAGCTGCCCCCACCGCCCTCCGGAGTGACGAAGTGCACGCGGCTTTGAAAGTACTGGCGGTGCACAGGATCCACACTTCCCAAGCACCCCCACGAAGCATCTTCCCCTTGCACTGCCTGCCTTGGATTGTTCCTAGGGGCTTTGGAGTTTTGTGTTTTCAAACGGCAAGTGGCCGCCCACGAGTCCATGCTGAAATCTAATGCGTTGTGAGCTTTTTTTCTTTTCCAAATAAATTAGTGTTGCCTCATCACACGTTGGTTTCAGTTAGGTAAGCATACACCGTCACATTATAAAATGGTTTTCATACTGTAGGTCTCAGTCCAGAAGTTTTCCTCACACTTTCATGTGCATACAGACCTGAGAATCTTACTAAAATGCAGGTTCTGATTCGGGGCATCTAGGATGCAGCCTTTGGGATGAGCTCTTAGGTGGGGCCAACCTCTTTTGAACGGCCTCTGCCTGGGGGCAATTCAGAGAGTAAGTGCAGATGGCAGGCCATCTCAGAGAGACGGTGTGGAAAATATCTTCAGGGTGTATCAAGTGTGGAAGAAAATGTGAAACTAAAAGTGGCCTGGGAGTCAGCTAAGTGCTGGGGGGCCAGTGCTGCCTGTGAGGAGACTACTTAGCCTCGCCTGCAAAAGGGGAAATGGAGGCAGGACAGGATAAACTTTCAACTCCCTTCTTGCTAGGGTGGCCAGGTTTGCCCAAAGAACCCTGGTGTACCTCTGTTTCCAAGCTTAATTATTAGTAGTTTTCTTTCCAGGGTGTCGTGATTGGATAATGAATTATAGGCTTACCCTACTTCCAGCTCTTGAGGACTTAGATCCCGTCTAGGCCTCTGCTCAGATCCTCCGGCAGGTTACACAATGAACTCCTTTATCCCAGAGAAAGATTCTTTGCAGAGGCCGGTGGCTGGGCTGCCTGGGAGTTAAGGCAAATAGCTCTGACCAGAAACCCAATCTCAGAACCTTCCGGGTCAACCTCAAGAGTTTCCTTGCTTGAGCCTGGAACCCTAAGTCTCGTCACCATTATTCCACCCAGCCCTGAAGCTGCCTCGGAATGTTTCAGGAACAGCCCGCTCCCCAACTCTCATGTTTGGGTGGGGGGAAGTGCCGTGATGTCAGGAGCACCGGGCATCTTCTCCCCTACCAACAGCCTTGCCAAAAGTGGACCCACTCTAGCAATGGAGGAAAGTTAAGCTCAACATCTGCTTCTCCCCACTTCCACCACTGGCCACCCTGCCCATGCCGCTGCCATCCTTTGAGCATGAGCCTCCCAACCATGCACCCCGAGTCCGGACCATTCTGGGTACTTTAACTAATTTTTCAAACCAGTTTTTCAAAATGCAAACCTGATTATACCAATCCTCTGATTCAAATCATTCAATGGCTTCCCACTGCTCTTGAGATAAGAGGGCAGAGGCAGATGCTTTAACGTGCCTCCAAGCCTGCTCCTCTCTTGTTAACCTTCCACTGGGCTGCTCCCCCTCTCCTGCTGAGAGCCTCCTCCAAATTCCTGAACTGGACCTCTGAAGTCCTCCTGGGCAGAGCCTTCGGCAGCACGCATGTCCTTCCCTCTGTCCTTCCCTTCCTCTTCACCCAGCCGACAACCTGGTCTCCTTTGGGTGAATTGTAACTTCCTCGATGGGCAAGCTTTCCTTGGCCTCCCTGAATAAATCTCATATTACAGGCTTTCTTTGCACCATATGCCTCTCTGTTTTTAGCACCTACTACAGCTGCAGCTTTATGATTATTTGTATCAGTTTCATTTCTATTCCTCTCCTCGACTCGAATCCAAATTTCCCGAGGACAGTGATTTTATCTCTCCCTCCACTCACTCTCATATCCCCAGCACCTAGGACATATAGGTGTTTAATAATAGTTGCTGGGTGAATGAATAAATGAGGTAATAAAGATTCAGTAGAAAAATGTACTTAATCATCCTAATTATTTCTTAACTCCAGAGAAGGCATTCTGTTACCTAATAAACTGAAATGTAAGCAGGCTAGGTTTTAGCTGAGGGTGATGTCATTACCACTTCCTTTTCTTAAAAATGGAGAAGCAAATTTTTTTTTCTCTCTTTTTCTAAATTTGCCAAGTTCCTCTGGGCAGCATGCATATACTTCCTTACTCCCCAAAACAAAAGTGAGGCAAACGAATGCCCAACTGATCCCAAATTGATTCCACAGCCTTTTCTATATTTACTGCAAAGACATTTCACATAGTTAGAGGCCAGGTTTGAGGTATTTGATTCCATGGTGGAATATTTATCTGGTGTTCCTTGTCATCTTATGTCATTAAAGTTGATTTTAACTGTTTGCCTTTAATATTTCTGATGTAAACTTCAATCTCCTGTGAAATTTAGAGTCTGAAGTCAGCACTGCCAAGTGCAAACTCATCTTTTAGAAACCATCACAATGAAATCAGAGACATGTAAACTCAAACATATTGCAATTTGATGCTCTTAAAAATTTCTCAATGTAAACTTCCTTTGGGGATTCTCACTGAAAGAGAAGTTTGATGCCCTTGATGAAGGCCGTGTCTTCACCCATGGTTGTATATTTGACTTCATGTAATTTTCTGTGTGTTCACATAGACAGCTAGCACACATAAGCAAAAAACTAGGCCATTTACAGATGGAGACAAAAGAGCTCAACTCAGGACTTCAAAAACAAGGAGGCTAATTTTGTAAGCCCTTACCAAGTTGAAAAACAATAAAAACCAGTATGAACCAAAGCTCAACAGCTTGAATATCTTCATTTTTCCAGTTTTACAAACTGAATACACACAAAACAATTGGCCTGAATCAAAATGTGGCCGGTTTAAGCCCTGCATTTCCCAGCTGTGGTGAGGCAAGAACTTTCTGCTCCCCTGAACTTTTTCACACTCTGCAGCTGTTGAGGTGACTAGTGACTAAAGCAGTTGACAGGGGAGATTGGTCTCCATGTATGTCAATAATTTTGCATTCTCAGCTCTTCTGTCTTGACCAACTTTTCTTCTACTGTGAAGCAGACACATAAGCTCTAAGACAATATGAATTTGTGAGGGATCCTCCCTTGCAGGATCATCCATGATGCCAGCTTCTCTAGGAGATGTTTTGTGATTCCTCCAGTCTAATACGATTCTCTTCTCCCAGGGAGAGAAGATGCATTGGGTTTATTTAATCTGTTATCTCTATGTTGGTCCCATTCTGACCTGGAGTGTATTATAGTTACTCTTTAATTTTTGGAATTCTACTCTACCAATTGTAAAGTCTTTGAAAGCTTAGATGGTTCCTTTTTCAACTTTGTACTCAATTTTGTGCCCTACAGTGTTCAGTAGATGTCTCTTGTCTTCAATAGAGGGAAAAATGAAAGTATCTACTTCCCATTTCTCTTTCCCTTTCACTTACTTTTAGATAGCAAAACATCTGAAATATACATACACCAAAGGCAGAAAATATACCAGATCCTCAACCTAATCATGCAAAGATAATCACTTGTTAACATTGTGGAGTACCTCCTTACAGTATTATTCTATTCTTCATTGTACAGTAAAAAAACTGAGGATTGAAGAGATAAAGTTGTTTGGCAAAAATCACATAACTAGGCCAGGTTTGAAATGAGGTCTGTCTAGTTCCAGAGTTTACATTCTAGAATAAGTTAATCAGGTGGTTGATCTTGAACACCTGACCAGCCCGTTCACAATAGTATTTTGGCTGTGAAATGATCAGAGCCACCCTCTGCTGTTACTACTCCTCATCTCTTACTCATTAACCAAAACCCATGGTGATCGCTTTTCTCTTGGAAAGTTCTTTCACTTAGCTAACACCTTGTCTTCAACTGGCACAACTGGCACATTTCAGTCACTAGTTTACCTGACTTCTTTCTCTGTTGTCCCAGATATGACATGTTCACCTCTCCTCTTTGGTGTTCTCTCTCCTTTGGCTTGCTTGTTGCTGTTGTAACCCCATATTATAGACTGAATTGTATCCCTCAAAATTCATATTTTGGAGCACTAACCTAACGAATACCCAAATTTGAGGATAGGAAATTTAAAGAGGTAATTAAGGCTAAATGATGTCATAAGAGCTGGGCCCTGCCCAATGTGACTAATGACTTTGTACGAAGAGGAAGAGGCAGGAGAACTGTGGATGTGAACACAGGGAAGGCCGTGTGAACGAACACACAGCAAGCAGGCAGCCACAGGCAGGCCAGGAAGAGAAGCCTCAGGAGAAGCCCAGCCTGCCAACTCTTTGATCTTGGAAATGTGAGAAATAAATTTCTGTGGTTTAAGCTGCCCTATCTCTGGCATTTCATTATGGCAGCCTTTGCCAACTAGTATTCCCCGTTTCCTGATGGCATGTTCAGCTGTTCCTTCTCAATGTCTTTATAGGGTTGTGTTCTTCCACTCATCAGTCACATACTAGTGCTTACCTAGTCTGTCCTCTGCCCCATCTCACTCCTCCTGGCGAACACCTCTGTTTCAATGGTTTTGTTATCACATGATTTCCCAATCTAATTATCAGGCTCTAATTTCTCAACTAAGCTAAAATTATTTCAACTGTCTACTCGACTCCTCATGGATGTTCTGCTGACGTCACACAGTCCTTATTCTAAAATTG